TCACTGTACTCAATGTGAGTGTGCCATAGGCTCATTGGGAAGGCCAAAGCCACTGTACCCAATGTGAGTGTACCATAGGCTCATTGGGAAGGCCAAAGCCACTGTACAGTATGTGAGTGTACCATAGGCTCATTTGGGAGGCCAAAGCCACTACCCTAGGTGAGTATGCCACACTCATTGGGAAGGCCAAAGTCACTGTACCCAATGTGAGTGTACCATAGGCTAATTGGGAAGGCCAAAGCCACTGTACCTAATGTGAGTGTACCATAGGCTCATTTGGGAGGCCAAAGCCACTACCCTAGGTGAGTATGCCACACTCATTGGGAAGGCCAAAGCCACTGTACCCAATGTGAGTGTACCATAGGCTCATTTGGGAGGCCAAATGCACTATACCCTAGGTGAGTATGCCATAGGCTCATTTGGGAGGCCAAAGCCACTATACACTAGGTGAGTATGCCACACTCATTGGAAAAGCCAAAGCCATGTACCCTGGGTGAGTGCGCCATAGGCTCATTTGGGAGGCCAAAGCCATGTACCCTGAGTGAGTGCGCCATAGGCTCATTTGGGAGGCCAAAGCCACTGTACACTAGGTGAGTATGCCACACTCATTGGAAAGGCCAAAGCCACTGTACCCTAGGTAAGTGTGATATAAGCTCATTTGGGAGGCCAAAGCCATGTACCCTGGGTAAGTGCACCATAGGCTCATTTGGGAGGCCAAAGCCACTGTACCCTGGGTGAGTGTGCCATAGGCTCATTTGGGCGGCCAAATCCACTGTACACACGAATTGAGTGTGCCACTGAATCAACGGGGAAGCCAAAGCCACTATACCCTTGATGAGTGTGCCACAGACTCATGGTTGTGATGCAAGGTTTGCACCATACATAATAAGATGACAGCCCTGTCATAAACGTAGTCTTATAAATATATTAATTTTGACAATGTTCTATTCTTTACAAAAGCCACAAAGTCCCTGATTGTTGTTGATGTTGGTATTGATCTAACTGGAGATGACGAAGTGACAGAAGAGGAGCCTGTTAACCCAATCAATTTTGACGTTGGTGTGACCTCATCTCCACTCAGTGATGACATAACTGGAGATGATTTGTGGCAAATGACAGCGTTCACAGCCTCTGATCCTCAAGGCAAACAAAACAAAGATATTGTAAGACAGGAAGTGTTATCAAAGCCTCAGAGAGACCAGGATCTTCCATCAGGCTCCACTGAGGATTTCCCTGGCTTGACCGCTAATGTCGACATGACAGGAAAGTACTGCAATGAGGTGAAATATTTCTGTGTTGAGTTAAATAAAGGAGTATACGCTGATCCTTCATTCATTATTCTTGGAGATCCTTCTGATCGGCTTGACTGTGTGCCACTAAGATGTGCTGAAGGTAAGGATGATTTAGTTAACTCAAAATGAAACTGATGATAAGGAAAAACTGCACTGTGGATTTTTGGTGATTTGTTGTGAATCCAAAGTTTATTGTCTGAACAAAGACCTTCAAAAACTATTTCAATGCTATAACTTTAATTACATTTGTATATCATTTTTGGTCAAAAATAAAAAGGCAAAATGACACTTTTTGGCCTAAAACATTACTTGACATGCCTTGATCCAACAAAAAATTATCTAGGTAACTTATTTACTGATTATCAGACAAAGTAATTTATAGTTACAACTTGGCACACATTATTAGTATTCTTTATACCAAAAAGAGTTTTTCCAACCATACTGCAACTTGTCCACATTATTTTTTATTATTTTTCAGATCATACTGAATCATATATACGGTATCACACTAATTTAATTCGAAAAATAACCTTCATTATCTTTCGTTTGGTCCTTCGTAAATTCCGCCAGACCACCCATGCACTCGTTCCGTTTTAGAGTTTTTATCATAATGCCTCAAAATACCTCTTATAAAAACAAATTCTCATGCAATACTTAAAGTTATAATTTATGTCTGAGATATGGCTAAGAACGCACTCGCAAATACAGATACAGAACAAATGTTATAAGCCTAAGCAAGCAATGTACATACTTATGGAGCAATGAGTAATATGATGATTTTGAAATTAGTCTAGACACTGTTGTATGTACAAGGTAATATTAGTTTCGCTATTTTCAACTATTTTGTTTGTTTATTTTTTCCTTCTGTGGTTTTACACATTCAGCTCCAGTACCCCCAGTAGTGATCACTGATACAGATGTTGACTTGTCCGGTGACAACATGATCACAGCAGGCGATCCTTACAATCCCATGGAATTTGATGTAATCATCAAAACAGATCCTAACGGAGGGGATGCAGTAGGCGACGATTTATGGAAAGCCACGGTTTTTACAAGTACTACACCTGATGGCAGCCGAAATAAGCGAGTCCTTGATGAGCAAGTACTAACACCATCCCAAGAAGATCGTGATATCCCTGCTGGTGATACCGCGACATTCCGTTATCTTGATGCCAATGTAGATATGCAAGGCTCCACGTGTGCCGATGTCGGGTACCTGTGTGTGGAGTTCTCAAAAGGAGAATATGCCTATCCTGATTTTGAGTTTAGTGGTTCACAATCTGTCCGAACAGATTGTATTAAGCTTAAGTGCGATGAAGGTAACCCATTCCTTGCTGTCCGACTGCCCTTATCCTCAAACTGCCCTCTTGTCATGGTTAAGGTATCTTATACATTTGTATCTGATCAATGGTGTAACCCTTTGTAGTGTAATCTATGATCAGACAGCAACCTGCTGCCACTCTGTGTATATTAATTTGTTTCTGAAGTGTACCAGTATCCTAATGTGTTGTCAGAAACCAATTCTGACAAATTTTCTTTTTACATTTTTATGGAGTCTACTGTAAAGCATGTTGGAACAGGTCGTTTTAGCAAATTTCACTCAAAGCATTCTGTTAGAATCTCAATTTAACTGTGCAGACAATCTCAATGTGAAATATTCTTTATTTTAAATTCATCTTGAATTTGCGAATTTATAGATAAGCTAAATTAGCTAAAATGACATGCTAGCTAAAAAGACATGTTGACAACTTTTTACAGTTTTCTCACTCCTGTCAATAATTTGAATGAAAAGTCAATTTTTATTATTACCTTTCATGAAAAAAAAAATATAAAAACAGAAAACTAAAGAGAAGCACATAAAATTGTGCAAAATATTAGCAGAAAAATTAAAACTATTTTTTCTTGGCTTTGTCAGATAAAAAATTTAATTCCAGCAAAGATTTATTAATGTACAGCATATAAAGCCCCTGTATCTCAATATAATCTATCTCCTTATCCCATTTACTCTGTGACCTTACTCCACTTATCCCATCCACTATGTGACCTTACCCACTTATCCCATTTACTATGTGACCTTACTCCACTTATCCCATTTACTATGTGACCTTACCCACTTATCCCATTTAATGTGAACTTATTGGTGCCTTAGTCCATTCATTTTGACCTTTTCTGCTTATCCCATTCATACTGTGATTTTACTCCACTTATGTGTGTTACTTTACTTCACTCATCCCATCCAGTGTGATCTTATACTCCACTTATTCCATTTACTCTGTGACCTTACTCCACTTATCCCATTTACTATGTGACCTTACCCACTTATCCCATTTAATGTGAACTTATTGGTGCCTTAGTCCATTCATTTTGACCCTTTCTGCTTATCCCATTCATACTGTGATTTTACTCCACTTATGTGTGTTACTTTACTTCACTCATCCCATCCAGTGTGACCTTATACTCCACTTATCCCATTTACTCTGTGACCTTACTCCACTTATCCCATCCACTATGTGACCTTATACTCCACTTATTCCATTTACTCTGTGACCTTACTCCACTTATCCCATCCACTATGTGACCTTACCCACTTATCCCATTTAATGTGAACTTATTGGTGCCTTAGTCCATTCATTTTGACCTTTTCTGCTTATCCCATTCATACTGTGATTTTACTCCACTTATGTGTGTTACTTTACTTCACTCATCCCATCCAGTGTGACCTTATACTCCACTTATCCCATTTACTCTGTGACCTTACCCCACTTATCCCATTTACTCTGTGACCTTACTCCACTTATCCCATCCACTATGTGACCTTACCCCACTTATTCCCATCTACTCTGTAACCTTACTCCACTTATCCCATCCACTATGTGACCTTACCCCACTTATCCCATTTACTCTGTGACCTTACTCCACTTATCCCATTCACTATGTGACCTTACCCCACTTATTCCCATCTACTCTGTAA